TATTTCCGAGAGTTCAATTTTTCATTCAATCGCAATTTTTTGACTTAATACGCATGCGCATTTAACTGGGTTCTTTCGGTAAGAAAGAATAAGCTGAGAATTGCTGGGTTCTTTGCATCGTTACCTATTCTAACATATCGTTATAAAAGACTAAAGCCATCAATGCACTGCGTTCAATTATAGAGAAAAATAGCACAGATACTGCGGGTGTTTAGTAAATAAAATGATCTCTCTATTGACAGCATGTTTGTTTTATGCAATCCTTGTGGGCGCGCTGAATTGTATCGGCAAAAGTGCGCGCGAAAACTGTGTTGGGCCACCTTAAGCGGCCGCGGCCACCCTTTGGCAGTCCTATGTTTGTCTTTCTTTGTTATTTTCACCTCAGCCTCTTCCAGGCGTTCAGTTAGTTGGGGCGCAGCGCGAAAAACAGCGCGCAAAAAAGTAAAAAAAAAGCACGTATTGAGCGACCACCCTGGAACGGAAACCAAGCCAAATGTCATTTTATGTCGTATTTTATTGTGTTTAGAATGCGATCCATCATTACTATAAAGAAATAACATGTACAAAGCTAGTACTGTAAGCTGATGTGCTGAAGTACAGCACCATATCATTAGACTACGCTCAGTATTTTTAGTGATCCTGTACTAAGCTGCCACCAGCTGTACTAAGCGGCCAGTTCCTCAAGTCGCGAGGGTGGCCGTTATACACAGGTTTGACTGTGCATCTAATCTGAAAGAGTCGCTGACTTATTCAAGCTCGATAAGGACGGTGTAAAATGTTGAATCATGTCATGCCAAACTTTGTCCAACGAACAGCCGGGTGAGTGATGATGATGGTTATAAGACACACCTTGCTAAGCAGGGAGAGTATTACTAACATTGATGAGAAAATGGCAATTGTTGGTACTATTTTCTGAGAACCAAAAGTGATCCAAGACAGTCCTTCAACAGTCCTTTAACTCTTTTAATTGCTTTTTCTTTCATTGTGTACAGGTTTTAGAAGTTAACACATGCCAAAGAATAACGAAAGATCTTTAAATCCTTTTTCGCTGAACGAGGTATCGGAAATAAATCAAACTAATTAACATGGTTCAAGTAAATCCCTGTCAATATTACAGCAATATTTCAGTTATTCGCATAATAAGCGGAATGACCTTCCATCCAAGCCGATATCAGTCAAGACATCCGGAAATCGCATGATAAAGAACTCACGTTGTCGACATTGACTGGACTCAAAGCTAAGAGAGGCTGACATAGCTTACATGAGCCGAAAAACGGGAAAATGTCAGTTTCAAACTCGATGAAGTGTTCTCAAGGGTCTGCAACGATTTTTGAAGTTTAGGCCTTCATGAAAGTTTTGGGAAACTGGCAATAAACACAAACCTCTTAAAAGCGCAAATATCCTCGCGATAGAAATTGAGGGTCTATATATAGCAGTGATTACGTTTCGAAACTGAAAATCTCTTCACCTACTGCCATATCATATAAATATATGATTGTCTTTATTACTCGTCACCAGTTTCTCGTCACCAGTGCAGTCTACACTGCACTGATATTGTTTTGAGAATTTTATGTTGATCACTCTAGTGACAAGAGGGTTAGACAAATGGCTTGTTTACTATTCAGCTGCACTGGACGACGATTTTTCTCAGGTAAACCCGATTTCCACCTGTTTTATTTGTCTCTCTGTAAACCATTCTATTGTAATGTCGATAGGAAAGTTTATGTCGAAGTTAAAGTACGTCCTTAGATTCTAAACGAAAATGTTGCCTGCTGTCGCTCCTTACTCGAACTCTATCAGCCCTCGGGCGATGTATATGTTTTGAAGCTTATATTCGCTTTGCTTCAGGTTATTGCGTCTCTAACAACTTTACTGCATTCAATTTAGTGCAAATTGAAGGATTTGGGGTTGAATGGTTGCCAGGCAGAGCCTGAAATCTGACGAGATTGCTTTGCGTTCTAGAAAGTGATTCAACTCAGTACAAACTCTTGACTTTCACTTCGTCTGAAATACCTAAACAAACGCCATATTCCTAATTACTTATTATGACGAATACAAATGATGTATATTTATCGCTAACTAACAACGGACCGAGCAACTAATTCAAATTGATACTGCAACCCTGACAAAAAATAACGTGAACCAAGAAAATGAAAGTTTGATCTGATATACGTGCCCTAGCCTGTTATGTTTGGTTTCAATCAGCCGAATACCTTAACGCAAGGATCCATATACCTTCACACAAGGCTACACCTTGTATGTTTATTAATGAGCCTCTTGAAAGTCGACAAAAACCCCTAAAAATTGCTGAACGACAAGGTATGCGAGACGCCAATGAAAAAAGGGCGGCCAAGAGCGGGCGCGGCGCGTGTGAACGAGTCAGTTATCTCCGCCAGGATGTCAAACGACACCTAGCTTGTAGCGGTAAACCATTTGTATTTGACTTCATGGCAAAATGCCGATGCCATTGAAACTACACTGCTCGTGGTCACAAAATGAAGGCAAGGGCGCTTAGTGCTTGTTTGCTCGCGGATTCTTTTTGTGCGCTTTCAAATAGAGAAACTTTGTTGAAAAGATTAGCAGGATAGTGATTCTATGTTATATATCTCAAACATACTTCAACTTTTAGCTTGAAAGCGGATCGGATGCGAGCTTGAAATTTTTAAACCCTCATTCGTGAAACGAAGCGCCATTCTCCAGTCCCCCTCGACCTCACAATAAATTACAATCAAGCATAAACAGTTTTGCACAACATGCCTTTGGTTACCATAGCAGGACGAAATCTTCTCAAAAATCCAATTATCGTATCTGATGTGCAAAAAGATTGAATAAACACAACATTTTATTTAGTTTATGCGTATTTTCGCACTCTTTGTACTTTTTGGTGTGACAATTTTCACCTTCAGCCTCGCTCCCACGCGTGCGTAACACTGGTGCCCATTCATAACAAAACAGCTGAGTACGGTCACTTCAGCAATGGTCGTTTTTCCTCGCTCGCTAATTTTACAAGCTTATGACGAAAATGCCGGTTTCCGACTCTCTAGAGGCCATCGCTATGAGGCAGGAGGCTGAGAGATTCGAGTCGGTTTGCCCGAATATTCAATCTTTGTACGACCTTCTGGAACGAATCGACAACGTGCCTTTGAAGCGCAAAATAAGAGAACTCGTGAATCGTATTGAGGGTGAGTGAATAATCGGTGGTAGTTTTATGGTGTAAACACAGGTATAGCTTTGATACGGTCGTTAGTAAGTCAAGTGTAAAGTTGCGGTTTTCCTTAAAAGAGCGACCCAGATATTTCACTTTTGAACTTAGGCCAGCTACAGTTTACAGAATACGAACGACTCGCGATTCTAGAAGATAAACACTAAACCATATTCACTTAACGTCACCGTTCTCGTGGAAGATAGCAGTTTGTAAACAAAAGAGATGCCAGGCAATTCTCAGTAGGTCGCTTTATATGAACTGAGGTTCATATAATATCATTTCAAATCGTTCTTGGAATCGAGTTGTGGTAGAGTCGCGCTTTGCTAAGAATGTTTCTCACACAAATTCGGTTACGTACAGAAATTTGAAAAAAACTTGATTCCTGCTGTGCTTGAAATCACAAGCTACCTCGTGTTCGCAGGCCACTAGTTCCCGGCATAATCTTCCTTAGTTCAAAAATATAATTGTAATTTAAAATTGATTTGAAGGGAAAAAAAATTCAAGATCTTTGATTGTTTATACGGGTCATGACAGAGATATTTCTTCGTTCGCGTCGTGTCGCGCCAAAAATTTTGTGGCCGTGTCTTCTTATGCAAAGCATCTCGATCGGTTGCGATTTTGAGTAAATGTCGTTTGTGTATCGAAATACAGTTCTATCCAGGTTTTTCTGGTTTGTTTATGTCGGATTTTGTACGTATTTACATGCAAGAGAAAACCAAGTGTTGACTTCTACAGTTGAGCCCATTTAGAAATGTAGTGTAGAATATTTTCGAATTATTGTTTATGTATATATTTATTCTTTCGAAAGAAGACGAAATCGCCAGAAATCGTGATCGTTTTCTCGTATATTTAAAGCTTATTTTATATTCCCTTGTATTGATGTGTTTCGTGGCCGGTGCGTTACAGTCTTCTTGGATGTCAATTTCACGGTTTAGAGAACCCATTGCAAATATTCAACGTACTGTGAATTTTGTTGATATAAGCTTAAATTCGCAGCTTATTTGCATGTTCTTGTACATTTGGTGATAATCAAAATTAAATGAGCTTCCTGCCCTTTGAAGAAGAATTGATATTTGGATAAAGAAAGTGATCGTAGTTTTTTTTCTATTTTGAGAACAGCCCTTGTGATTTTTATATACAGTATATAGACAAAATTATGAAGTACATGAAATATACTAGGATAAGTATTTTGTCTATTTGTAAATGAATTCTTGAAAAATGCGGTTGTGGTTTAGGGTATTTAAATTTAATTCAAGATGTTTTTCCTTGGACTTTAAAATATTTTTGCCTTATTTTTCATTATTAATGCTTACGTACCCAACACAGCTGATGCAACTATAACTATGTATATTAATTTTGTGAACTGGGGTATTGTTTTGTTTCACTAAAGCTTTTATTGAAGTGCCTTCAGTTGAGTATTTTAAGAAGGTATCAGAATTCATCTGTAATCAATACCTTCCTTAATTAAACATCCCCTCTGAATCTGTATGGCTGCTACTAAAGAGTCACAATCAAGGATTCCAGAATGATGTTAAATTACCAGTCCAGTGATATTATAATGTAGATGTGTCTGTTCTCTTGTAACAAATATTGGTGTGAAATTGCAAAACCCTGAAACATAACAAAAATTCTAAAGATTCCTTTGGATTGTTTCATAGTTGCTGATTTATCAGTGAGGAATTTTGAAATGTATATGAATCTTCTGGACTCTAAGCCCCCCAGAATTTCCTTTTAAGTAGTTATTTTTATAAGTTATTCAGTCAGGCTAGTATATTATATTAACTATGATCTACCTGCTTCTTCCCAAAAGGTATTTGTATATTAATGTAATGACACAGTTGTTTTAAGATTTTGAAGAGAAACCAATCACAAATCAGCATGAAAGATTATTACCTTAAGGATCTTGACTTGACATCCTGGGAAGCTATGATCTTGGACAATTTAAAGACATGACAGATAAAAACTTCAACTTCCTGGCTATATTACCTGTACTGCGTATTTGATTTGTAGTGGGC